TTGCCCACCAACCCCCACCCCCTCTCCCTCACTCTCCTTCTCTATATTTCTTTAATAGTCAATGTAGTAATGTAAATCTATGTAGTCATAACTGATAAATTGCACCTTTGTCTGGTGAAAATTACAGATACATCAACCAAACATTTGTGCTTAATTCAGGATATAGTTTAAAAAGATATTGTTGTAATATATCCTGGTTCAAGATATAGTTGAAAGATATATCTTTGTTTCAGATATAGTTCAAAAATATATCTTGGTAAATATCCTGGTTGAAGATATAATTGAAAGATATATCCTGGTTCAAGATATAGTTGAAAGATATAAGAAATCTTCTTCAAAATGTTTGTGAAATATTTCTTATTGTACTTGGAAATGTTTACAAGTTGAAAGATCCTGGTTGTGAAATGTTTTTTGACAAATTAAAAAATGTTTAGCTGAGTGAAGAAACCTTTGTGAGATGTTTTTGACTTCAGACATGATTGGGCCCCAAGCATTTCTTGTCAAGTCAAAAGATCTTTGAGTGGATAAGAAATCTTCTTGAAATATTTCTTATTGTATTTGGAAATGTTTACAAATTCAAAGATCTTTGGACTGGATAAGAAAAATGTTTGTACTGAGAAGAAATGTTTGTGAAATATTGCTTATTGTACTTGGAAATGTTTACAAGTTCAAAGATCTTTGACTGGATAAGAAATCTTCTTCAAAATGTTTGTACTGACATGAAATCTTCATGAAATCTTCTTCAGAATGTTTGTATTGACAAGAAATCTTGGTGAGAAATTTCTTGTTGTATTTAGAAATGTTTAGCTTGTGAAGAATTCTTTTAACTAAATATTTGGAAGCAAGAAATGGTTTTGCAAACTAAGAAATCTTTATGAATCTTTGGATAGTTTTGACAGGTTAAGAAAGGTTTGAGTTTATTTTTAATGATGAACACGGCAGATAGAAGGGTGTTGGTGAAAACAGTGGGGGAAAGCTGCTGGGTGATGCTAACTTGGTTGAGTTTTAAATGGTGAACATGGCTGATAGAAGGGGGGTGTTGGTGAAAACAATAGGGGAAAGCTGCTAAGAGCCTGTTCAGCAACCAGAATCTGACAAGAATCTGGTTCAATTCTTTCAGATTCTCTGTCTTGTGACTTTAGGTAAGCCATCAATTTTACGGATCTCTCTGAATCTATTTTCTTCTGAACCCTGTCACAACATAGTCGCAACACTCGCTGTCAACTGCCTTCCCATTGTCACAGCCAATGATGAGCACAGCAGTTCACTTCCTTTTCCACTATTTCTTTTAGTTTTCTTTCATGTCAATACTACTCTAAATTATGTACATGTAAATCAATGAATATTTTCATTGCACTTTCTGTAGTAATCTTAAGGGGAATGATAACAAGAGGGTGTTGCTCAACATTGAATACAGTCCACGGTTGTTGCCAGTTGCCATGCCATCAACAAATCACGAGAGAGGTCACATCGTGTCACAAGAATCTGAAAGAATTGAACCAGATTCTGGTTGCTGAACAGGCTCTAAGGGATGCTAACTTGGTTGAGTTGAGAAGTGGGATGTTAGTAAAAACAGACTTAAAGTGGTGAACATAACAGAGAGAAGTGGGGTGTTGGTAAAACAACCTTAGAGTGGTGTGAACATGACAGAGAGAAGTGGGATGTTGGTGAAAACAGACTTAGAGTGGTGAAAATGGCAGATAGAAGTGGGGCATTGGTGAGAACAAACTTAGATGAGTTTTGAGGGAAAAAAAAAGCAATGTACAAAATGATGAGAAAACTGCACCAGAAAAAACAAGTTTTTTTCTTGAAACTGGGACCCCTGTGACACTGGTCAGATATGTTTGAGCCATGTGACAAGGCTAAAAGATTTTTCAACAGTGTGACATGCTTAGAATATATCTGATTGATGTCACACCACTGAAACATTTCTTGCCACGCTGGCACACTTCAAACATTTCTGGCCAGTTAGACTTGGCTCAAACATTTCTTACCAGTCTGACACACTTCAAACATTTCTTACCAGTCTGAACCCCTTCAAATATTTCTGACCACTTTCACTTGACTAGGATATTTTTGAACACAATTTATCTACCCAAACATTTCTGGTCACAATATTACAGGTCAAATATTTTCTACCCAATCCAATATTATATTTTCTCCCAAAGGCAAAAAAATAAACGGCCACACAACCTATTAGCCTGGATACATTCTTACATTTTACAAGGCTAATAGCTTGTTCAAGGTGGGTGACTGAAGTGCAGTGCCTATACTTCTGGGAGAAGACTACCAGCTAACCTATGAACTCAGAGTCACCAGGAACATTGAGACAGGGACCAAGTTACGCTTTGCAGACACAGACCACAAAATCTCTGCAGTGCACATCAGTCGTACCCCAGACTTCGACAGGCTGAGACAAAGCACCTTGCTGGTCGGCAAGTTTGCCAAGGCCAAAGTCCATTGTCATGAGAAAGCCAGAAGGCACCACCGCAAACTCAAATTTGGCATAGAAGAGAAGACGGTTTGGGCAGCAGAAGACTGTATCCTGAAGCCACACGTGTGTTGTCATGTTTGAGTCGAGGGACAATTCGACAACAGCAAAGACTGGCTGGTACAGAAGAGTCTGTTAGCAAACACAAATGACTCTTATTTTGCCGTACCTAACACTTTGATCTCAGCACACAATCCCTGGGTTCCAATTGCCAATCCCACCAATCAACCAAGATACATCTGTAGGGGAGAGGTGATTGGTACGATACACGATCCAGAAGACTTTTTTGAGACCCCGAGTTCAGCTGAACACACAGAAGCTCTGTACAAACACGCTGCAGCCATTAAAGTGGTCATCGCAACCCAAATGGAGTCGGAAAGCGGAACGAACCACGCCATGCCAGACATAGTCAATCAGCAGGTTCCTGAGGAGGAAGAGGAGTACGGACTGAAAACAGCAGCTATGCCTGACCTCACGGACTTCCCATCTGCAAAAATGGAAGAATTGATTGACATAGGAACATTACCAGATCACTTGAAGGATCTGGCATGGAATATGTTGAGGAACCGTCAACAGGTGTTCGGCTTCAACAGGAGATTAGGACATTTACCCACTAAAGTGCACATCAGAACAGCTGACGGCCAGGTCCCAATAGCCAGGCTAATGTAAGGTAGTTCACCTGAGAAAAGATGCATGATGGACAAACAAATGGATAAATGGTTTGAGCAGGACGTGATTGAACCTTCTATCAGTCTGTGGAGTGTGCCGGTAGTCATCACATATCGCAATGGTAAACTGAGATTCTGCGTCGACTACAGGAAGCTGAATGCAGTTACAATTCCCGACAAATTCCTGATCCCATGTCAATCAGAGATCCTTTCTTCATTGTTGGGTGCTCAGGTCTTATCTTCGTTAGATGCTCTGTCAGGTTTCACTCAGTTGGAGCTACATGAAGAGGATGTGGAGAAGACCGCTTTCTGAACACACAGGGCTATTTCAGTTCAAAAGAATGCCATTTGGTTTGAGAAACGGTCCATCCATCTTCCAGAGGGTCATGCAAGGGATCTTGGCACCCTACTTATGGTTTTCTGCCTCGTTTACATTGACGACATAGTAATATTCTCCAAATCCTATGAAGAACATATCATTCACCTGGA